TCTCTCTCTCCCAGTGCCTCAGCTCTAACCACTAGCCCACACTGCCCCTCTCTCTCCCCCAGTGCCTCAGCTCTAACCACTAGCCCACACTGCCTCCCTCTCTCTCTCTCCCTGTGCCTCAGCTCTCACCACTAGCCCACACTGCCTCCCTCTCTCTCCCAGTGCCTCAGCTCTAACCACTATCCTACATGCGTAGAGGGAAACCATGTATCACCAGGATGAAGATTCATGTTGTTGTTGTGATACCGCTTTGTTGTCGAAGCTTGTCGATCCACCTCTTCAATTTGAGTCTGTGCATCCTAAAAACCCTTGTTAACGTCACTGGTCACGACAGGTGGATCTCCACTTGAGACACCCAGAGTGTCCAACTAATGTGAGGTGAGCCTGATGCAGAGTTGAATTGGTCTTAATTAGGATAACACATCATGTGTAAGGAAACAGGCAGAGCTCTTTGCAGCTGTGAGAAATGCCATGCAAACCTGTAGGATGTGTGACATTTTCTGAGCAGCTGGACAATCAATTGAATCTGCATTCTGTGTGAAGGGTTTTTATATAGAGTACAGTATATTCATGCCAAGTAGGCTCTTTCGTGACATTTATGGTGACAGACTGTGAGAGCTTGTTCATGCTGTGTTGAAGGTATAAAAAGCACTCAGACATGTCTGCGCTTCAGAGCTGAGTGAATGGAAGCACCTTGGCTCTCCAGAGGGCTGTCGTGGTAAATTTATTTCTGAACGCTGCAGAACTGCATGGAAACGTCTTGTTTCACTACAGAGACAGGGGCTCAGCTCTAACGTTGGCCACTTCATTTGCCCACTGTGATCTGCAGTCATCCATCTCAGCACATGGAGCAGGAGGGGCCTGGGTGGGACTGGTTCCAGGGGAGGGGCCTGGAGAAGGGCTGGGGCCAAAGGTGCGCTTGGGGGAGGGGCTGAGTTCAGGGGTGGGCCAGGGGGCGGGGTTGGGTTCAGGGGATGGGCCTGAGGTTGGCTTGAGTTCAGGGGTGAGGCCAGGGGGTGGGGTTGGGTTCAGGGGATGGGCCTGAGGTTGGGCTGAGTTCAGGGGTGGGCCAGGGGACAGGGTTGGGTTCAGGGGATGGGCCTGAGGTTGGGTTGAGTTATGGGGTGGGCCAAGGGGAGGGGTTGGGTTCAGTGGATGGGCC